TGGGAAGAGAGACAGACACCGCAAGCTCATGTTGAGATGCAAACATCTACAATTGCTATGGCTGAAGTGAGCGTTGCAGAGTGCGACGCTTGTGGGGCACTCCACCGTGAAGGTATTCGGTGTGAAGCTGTACGGAGGATGGAAGCTCGTGCTAGGAAAGGCCCAGGTGGTGGTGAGGGGGGCGCAGGGACAGAAGTAGGAGATTTAACCGATGAAGAAACAGATTATTCCTACTCGACAGATGCGTCCGAGGAAATTGACGGTGAGCAAGTGGAAGTGGGGCAAGGGCGGCAGAACCATGAACAGCAAGGGTCGGATGGGGAGGAGGCAGATGTAGCCATGGGGAGGGAGGAAGCAACCGAACCAGAAGGGGGGGGAGAACAACATCAAGGGCAAGGGGGGAGGCGGTCAAACCGGCCGCAGAGGGGGAGGCGGCAGCAACATGGAGGGAGGCAGCAGCGGCAACGGGGAGGGGGGCAGCAGCAACAGCAGCAGCAGGGGCAGGAGCAGCAGGGGCAGCAGCAGCAGGGACAGCAGGGGCAGCAGCAGCAGGGACAGCAGCAGCAGGGGCAGCAGCAGCAGGGGCAGCAGCAGCAGGGGCAGCAGCAGCAGCAGCAGCAGCAGCAGGGACAGCAGCAGCAGGGACAGCAGCAGCAGGGGCAGCAACAGCAGGGACAGCAGCAGCAGCAGCAGGGGCAGGAGCAGCAGGGGCAGCAGCAGCAGGGACAGCAGGGGCAGCAGCAGCAGGGGCAGGAGCAGCAGGGGCAGCAGCAGCAGGGACAGCAGGGGCAGCAGCAGCAGGGACAGCAGCAGCAGGGACAGCAGCAGCAGGGGCAGCAGCAGCAGTAGCAGCAGCTGGGGCAGCAGCAGCAGCGCCAGCAGCAGCAGGGGCAGCAGCAGCAGGGACAGCAGCAGCAGCAGCAGCAGGGGCAGGAGCAGCAGGGGCAGCAGCAGCAGGGACAGCAGGGGCAGCAGCAGCAGGGGCAGCAGCAGCAGGGACAGCAGTAGCAGCAGCAGCAGGGGCAGGAGCAGCAGGGGCAGCAGCAGCAGGGACAGCAGGGGCAGCAGCAGCAGGGGCAGGAGCAGCAGGGGCAGCAGCAGCAGGGACAGCAGGGGCAGCAGCAGCAGGGACAGCAGCAGCAGGGACAGCAGCAGCAGGGGCAGCAGCAGCTGGGGCAGCAGCAGCTGGGGCAGCAGCAGCAGGGACGGCAGCAGCGGGGACGGCAGCAGCAGGGACGGCAGCAGCAGGGACAGCAGCAACAGCAACAGCAGGGGCAGCAGGGGCAGCAGGGGCGGCAGGAGGAACAGCAGCACCAGCAACAGCAGGGGCAGCAGCAAGGACGGGAGCAGCAGACGCTGGGAGATAGGCAGCAGCGGCAGCGGCAACAAGGGCGACGGCAGCAGCCCCAACAGCGTCAGCAGCACTTGGAGCAGCAGCTGGGACAGCGGCAGCAGCACCAGCCAAACACAGTCGGCCCAAGAGACACGGCAGAGATTGTCCGGATCCGTTTGAGGAAAGTGTCCCGCATTAGTCTACAACGCCAAATACCAGATTTGGAAGAAGCTGAAAGGGAAGCTTCACCTCAAGACACGAATGTAGGGCCATCACATAGAAATCGGCGGCGAGGAACTCGACAGGTAGGGCAGCAGGAAGGGCTGCATCAGGAAGGTCAGCAACTGGGAGGAGTGCAACAGAGACCGCGGCAACAAAGAGGACAGCGACCGAGAGGGCAGCAATAGACAAGAGAGCAGCTGGGGCAGCAGCAGGTGGGGCAGCAGCACTCAGGGCAGCAGAACGCAGGGCAGCAGCACACAGGGCAGCAGAACGCAGGGCAGCAGCACACAGGGCAGCAGAACGCAGGGCAGCAGCACACAGGGCAGCAGAACGCAGGGCAGCAGCACACAGGGCAGCAGAACGCAAGGCAGCAGCACACAGGGCAGCATAACGCAGGGCAGCAGCACACAGGGCAGCAGAACGCAGGGCAGCAGCACACAGGGCAGCAGAACGCAGGGCAGCAGCACACAGGGCAGCAGAACGCAGGGCAGCAGCACACAGGGCAGCAGAACGCAAGGCAGCAGCACACAGGGCAGCATAACGCAGGGCAGCAGCACACAGGGCAGCAGAACGTAGGGCAGCAGCACACAGGGCAGCAGAACGCAGGGCAGCAGCACATTTGGCTGCAGCAGTCAGGGCAGCAGCAAGAGGGACAACAGTGGCAGGAAATCCGCGTTCCTATGTCACACCCGAGGAGCGCCACATATTATTCAACAAATGTAATGGATAGAGGGGTTGCAGCATAGCAACAAGGGTTGTATTGGCAATACCCTTGGATGGTGCCTATGCACTCAAACATGATCCATCAATGGCCTTCGTACGGAAGCTCAATCTACCCTACACAGCAGCAAGGGGATGGTGAAACCTATGCGTCAGGTGCTGCTGGTGGACGTATTGCAACCACAAACTCGGCAGAGCAGGGCGAACAACATGAGCAGCACCACTGTTGAACTCGGCATGTTTGAGTGGACTGTGTTCTTATTAGTGAATTTACTTAGTGAATGAACACGGGTAGTGAATGTAGTGGTGATGTAGTGGTGAGACAGTGAAATGTGTGGACGCCAAAACCTGCTCGTAGTTGTTTGCCTGTCCGTTCGTTTGTAGGCAGGTACATGGAACGAGAGTACGATATATGCGATGGGGATTTACGCTTCATGTCACTCCATCTGGGTGCTACATGCTCATTTTTCGCTCATGCTGGGGTGATGAGATGATGTATTGTAGTTTTAGTGAAGATATTGTCGCGCAAGGTTTAAGTGTGGTGCAGTTTAAAACATTTTACAGTACAAGAAAAAAGAATGTGCATGCTGTGTCTCTTTGTCGCACCGACTCATACTATTGCATTGTCTATAAAAATGAGAATACCAGAACCATGCCGTTAAGTTTAAAACAAATGATGTACAAAATAGTGCTAGTTTACAGAAGACGCTGCACTCCCATAATATGGCCTCAACACCTATGTAATTGACTTGGCCAAAGTGTCCCGGTAATAATATGAGCAATTTTAGAACGAGATCAGGGAGTGATGAAGGGCAATGCTAAAGCGATCCGTGCATAAAACATACCGCATTATGATAATTTTAACTGATTTCTCTGTACCTTCTTCCAAGTGTAGTAACTTTTGATAGCCGAAAATGACGTTAATATGTCTTAAAGTAAACATACTTTTATGGGTCCTTTATGTGCAATTAATGTTCGGATTATAAGGGAGTAATTAAACATTCAGGCAAGGTTAGTAAGAAGGAAACTCACTCTGGCCTAAATGGTGATGTTTTTGCTGACTCGAACGTCATGCGTACGGTGTACATTGCGGTTGAAATGTTTGGTTACCAGTTGGGAAATCTGTGGAGAGTTGATAGGTACCACGGAGGGATAATGTGTACCACCGGGGAAATGACGGGTACCACAGGGGAGATCGGTCAATCTGATGGGTACCATCGAGCCACGTGGCGGACTGCGTACGTCAGCGGGCTCGATGTTGGTTATCCGGAAGGTAATTACCCGATAATGTGTACCACCGGGGAAATGACGGGTACCACAGGGGAGATCGGTCAATCTGATGGGTACCATCGAGCCACGTGGCGGAATGCGTACGTCAGCGGGCTCGATGTTGGTTACCCGGAAGGTAATTACCCATTTGATAATCGTACAATCGAAGTAATGTCCCAAGCTTAGCTTAGGTGGATGCGCGGTTGGATTGGTTGCTGGGAGAAGGGGTGCCCGAGGAAAACTGTTTTATTGGCTGAATGAGATACGGCTGAACCAATGGGAGATCAGGTCGGGGTTTGTTAGCAACATTGACACGCATGACATGTCACTGGGTGAAGTTTCCACGCTGTCAAAGCAGGGATATTCTGTTTGAAAAAACGACACTAGATGAAGTTCGCGAAACGTTTTTCCACGTGTCAATACAGTATTTTCCCTCGTTTCTTGCTCTGCTTAGAAACTCTACACTCACTGTGAACGGTTGCCAATCCGGCCAGGAAATGTTTTTTTTCGTTGCGAGCCATGCTGCCTTTCCTACCCTTTTCCAAATCTTCTGCCTGCTCTCCGTTGGGGACAAGCAAGCAACACCCTTCCCGCCAACACTTGTCCCCCACAAGTTACAAGTCACACAGATACTTCCGAGCGGGTGGTGGGTTGTCTCACATCAGCAGACAGAGTTTGGCTATCTCAAAAGCACAAATCTGGACACTCTGCTGCACGCAGAGAAACGGCGAGAAGTAATTTAGTCTTCGGGCTGTCGTCGTCACGTCAAACGCGATATTCGGCAGGCCGTTTCCGTTAGTCGCTGTTTCCCTGCGCGCCCAGGGGCAGCGGGATTTCAAATCTCTCGTTGTAATCACTTCTTGCTTTTCTCGCGTCGCACGCTGCAGATTACTAATCCATTTCTACTCAAACCGCCACCACCCACTGCTCGCAATTTCGTTGCATAAATCCCTTTAACCACAGGCAGGCTCGAGCTAGCCGTGAACAAAAAATGGGAGGGGGAGCGGACAGAAGGCGAGTGCTTTCGCTCTTATCGCGCACCCTATCTTACGCCACGTCAGCATCCCTAGAATCCAATCGCGTGCCGTCCTACTCGTCCTACTCCTCGCTGCTGCTTCTGCGACGCGGACTGTCGTCACCTGCCGCCAATATCTCGTCGCCGAGCGTCGCACCGTCCATCCCCGCACGTCGTCGCCACTCGCTACCGTCGCAACACACCCCTCGCCTCGCCCTACACACCGCTCGCCTCTCGTATCCCCTCGCCGCTAGTCGCAAAGCGTTACCACCCGTAAGCGTCGCCTCCTCCGCGGGTTTTCTGGGTCGTTCCTCCTCCGCCTGTGCGCTCTCGACACGTGGCGGCTGCTCCGATGGACCGAATGACGTGGCAGCGTTTCGGGTTTCCCACGATGGTCGAGACGGTTTAGGGGACGGTTGCTCTCATTCGAGCGACGGCGACATGTCAAGGCGTCGCACGCTGCGATGCCTGTCGCAGCCAGTAGAGGATTTCATGCAACCGTTCGTCGACGTGTCGCCTGCGATGTCGTCGTCGCACGGTGGTCGCTGGTTCGTCGCAGAGGGAGAAGGACGGAATGTATATCGTAACAGAGAAACTAATAAAGGGTACGTTGTTGATTTGGTAAACGAAGCAGCCGCCTCACGTGACGCCCTCGTCCCTTTGTCGCACACTTTCGCAGCATCGTCGCGATCCGAAGTGGCGTCGCCTCGAATCGTCGCACAGGGAGCGGAATGGGCGGACGACTTCCCGCTCTCGTTTAACAGCTTCCCAGCCGCGTGGCCGAACGCGCGCCTGGAGGGGCCGGGGGGGGCGTGGGCGGTGCCCGTGTGGGTGGAAATAGCAGCGTCGGCGGAGGGGGGAGCGGGTGGAGATGGGGGGGGCGGGGAGGGCGGTGTGGGGGGAGGCGGAAGCGACGGCGCGGTTTCGGGGGGTGGCGGAGCGGCGGGCGCGGGTGGCGAAGGCGGAGGGGGGAGCGGGCGCGGGGACGAGGAGCTGCTGTGCCCCGACTGCCGCACGCCCCTCTCGCTCCTCTCTTTCCCCGCGCTTGCCTTCCCCCACTCCCCCTCCTCCCCGTCCGCGTCCACGCTATCCCCGCCCATGTCCGCGGCGGAGGCGCGCGCGAGCGGGCGCGCGGTGCTGTTCTGCCGCCAGTGCCAGCGATTCACCGACAGGCCCGTGGCGGGGGGGACAGGGGAGGCGGAGAATGGGCGGAAGGGGAAAGGCGAGGGGCAGCCGCAGGTGACGGCGGAAGGGCAGTGTGCAAGCGGGGGGAAGGGGGAAGGATTGGGGAAGGGCAGGGGCGGGGGGGGCGCGAGAGTGGGGGAGTTTGTGGAGGCGGACTGGTATGAGGCGGACTGGAAACACGTGTTCCCCCTCTCCGCCGTCACTCCCCCTGAACCCCCCGCCTCTGACGCTTGGCAGTGGTCCCGCTTTGGGCGGCAGCTCAGCCGCCCAGACAGCCGCCCGGACGGCCGCGCGGGCGGCCGGTCGGCGCGCAGCGAGCTGGAGGGGATGATGGGCGGGGCGAGCGGGGGGGAAAGGGGGAGCGCGCGGAGGGATGCGCGGGAGGAGTATTTGAATCGGTTCCAGGCGAGTTTGCAGGGGTGGGGGGGGCATCCGTGGGCGCAGGGGCAGGGGCAGGCAGGCGGAAGGGGAGAGGGGAAAGCGCAAAGGCAGGGGCAGGGGCGGAGTGAGGGGCAGCAGATGGGCAGCAGCGGAAGGAATAGAAGCACTGGGGGGAGCGGAAGCAGTGCCAGCGCGTACCCGCCTAGCTTCTCCTCCCCCCTCCTGCACGCCCCCAGAGGTCCCCCCGCCCCGCCCCCTCCCCCGTCCCCCCTGGCCGCGCCCACGCAGATTCCCCCCGCGCCTGGCGCGGGCGCGGGGGAGAAGCGGGGAAGAGGGCAGCAGAGCGGGGGCGGGGAGGGGAAAGAGGGGCGGGAAGGGCGAGAAGGGAGGGAGGGGAGGGAGGGGCATGTGCCTTGTTTTGGGGCGGCAGGGGGAGGGGGGGACGGCACAGAGCACAACTGGGGAGGGGCGAATCTGGGGGAGAATCTGCCTACTCCCAAGCAGATCCGGGCAGCGCTGGATGAATTTGTGATCGGGCAGGATAACTCGAAAAAGGTGAGCTTGTGCTGGTGACGTGGCAGTTGCTGACAGGCTGGCGTGGTATTGCTCCTTTACGGTCGCATACTCGTCACTTCTTCTTTCGAAAATACTCGCAACCGAATGTTTGCAATGGCGGTGTACAATCATTACACGCGCATCGTCCTTATAAGCTCATTTCGTTATTGGCCATTTCTGAACCTTGTATTTAACTCTTCTCTACAGGTTCTAACAGTTGCGGTGTACAACCACTACAAGCGCATCCCGGTTATAAGCCCTATATGATCCCGTGATTAACCCGTCTTAACAGGTGCTAGCAGTGGCCGTTTACAACCACTACAAACGCATCCTCCTTATCAGCTCGTTTCTTGACAAAGCCATTTAAATGCATCTCATTTCGTTTTTTTGGTTTAAACTTTGTATTCAACCGTTTTCAACAGGTGCTGGCAGTAGCGGTGTATAACCACTACAAGCGCATCTTCCTTGAAAACCAGAAGCGGGAAAGACTCGCCAACCTGCCCGAGGGGTGAGAAGGGGTTGAGTGGGGTGAATGGGGGTTGAAAAGGGTGAGCTGAGGTTCAGAAGGGTAAGAGGGAGAGGAGAGGAAGCAGGAGTGGGAATGAGGGGGGTGTCGGAGAGTGGGAGGAAGTGAGGGAAGATTGCAGAGGGGCTGTGATTTGTGTGGAGTGGAGTTAACTTTTGGGTCGACTCAATAGTCAGCTTGATTTGTGTGGAGTGGAGTTCTCAGAACTCGATGTGTGTAGATGGAGGATTTCATTCGACTTGCTCCACGCTTTGTCCCTTGTCCGCCATCTCTCACTCACTCCCGTTCTCGTTCACTCTCGTTCCCCCCCGTGCTGGCAGGGCGTGCGAGAACCTGGTGGGGGGAGGCGAGGAGGACGAGGTGGAGGTGGAAAAGAGCAACGTGCTGCTCATGGGTCCCACGGGGTCAGGTGGGGTTAAGTGCTGACAATCAGCATACGCGCTCATACATGCAGCACAGCAGTGCAATCATGGGACGAGGTGCAGGTGGAGAAGAGTAACGTGCTGCTCATGGGTCCCACGGGGTCAGGTGGGTTCTAGAGTCATCACTGCTCCACGGGACAGGGCAGCGTAGGAGCGTATATGCAGCTATACGGTGCTACCATGGCATGAAGTGCAGGTGGAAAGAGCAGTGCAGTGCAGTGCAGTGCAGTGCAGTGCAGTGCAGTGCAGTGGAGTAACGTGCGTCCAGGCAAGGGCCTACTTGCCTCTGAAGCGCCTCACGAGTTTCCATCCTCTGCTGCCCACGCCCTGCCCAATGCGTGCAGGCAAGACCCTACTGGCCAAGACTCTGGCTCGCTTTGTCAACGTGCCGTTTGCCATTGCTGATGCCACCACGCTCACCCAGGTGCAGTGCCGCTCATGCTCAGATATCTCTTTCACCTCTGGTTCATCTTTCTTGAGCCGCTGAGCATTACCGCGTCTGCAATGCTGCTTGCTGCTCCGGTATTAAGCTCCCTCACCAATGGTTCGTCTTGCAGGCGGGATATGTGGGGGAGGACGTGGAGATGATTCTTTATAAGCTGCTCCAGGTGAGGGATAGAAGGGGCTGCTAGAGGAGTTAGGGTAGTGGGTGAGGGGGGTTCTGAAAGGTGCTGTTTGCCTTTGCAGGCTGGGTATGTGTGGGAGGACGTGGAAATGATTCTTCATGTGCTTCTCCAGGTGAAAGGAGAGATTCGTTGAGGTGAGGGGGCTCGTTGAGGTGAGGGGGGTTCATCTGTTATAGCTTTGAAGCACATCGCTGCAGCCTCGATGCAGCAAGTGGGGGTCAGGGCCTTTGTGTCCATGTATTGTGCGTTAGGTGTGCGTGTGTGTGCATATAGCTTAAGAAGCTTTGCAGGTCGACTCAGTCAATTAAGCTTATGCGGCACAAGTGGGGGTCTGTCGGACCCATTTTTGCTCTTTGTAGCCCCGCCCATCCCTCCCTCTTCCCCATTTCGTCCTTCCGTTCCTCCTTCCTCCTCCCTCTCCCTCCCGTTTCTCTCTTATATTCTCTCCCTCCTTCCTCCCTCCCCCCTGTTCCGCCTTCTGTCGCTCCTCCCTTTTTCCTTCCGATCACCTATTCTCCTCCTCTGAATGTGCATGCCCGCGTGCATGCTCTGTGCGTGTGTGCGACATTCATGGTGGTGTGTGCGTGTGTGGTGCGAGTGTCTGTCCATTTGTCTTCCTCAGAGCGCCAATTTCAGTGTGTCAGCAGCGCAGCAGGGCATCGTGTATATCGATGAGATCGACAAGCTCACCAAGAAGGTAGGCTCGATAACACCAACCCTCAGACCTCTCTCACACTAGGTAAGCCCACTAGCAGCACCAGCACTAGGTGGGTGCTGCCTGCCCTGTTCCCCACCAGAGCAGCAGCAGCGCAGCAGGGCATTGTGTATATCGACGAGATTGACAAGCTGACCAAGAAGGTAGGCTTGCCAGCAGCACTAGCGGCACTAGCGGCACGGGCACTAGGTGATGCACCCCCGCATTAAAGCAGCAGCGCAGCAGGGCATTGTGTATACCGATGAGATTGACAAAGTGACCAAGAAGGTGAGACTTACTTAAGTTCTTTGATGATGAAAAGGGTGCGCCAAGTTTCAGAAAATTCCACTTTTTTTTGTTTTGTACAGTTCCAAAAAAAAACTTCAAACAAGTGATTGGGTGGCTGCCAAACATAAAAAAACGCCATAACATAGGGTCCCTTAGCAATGTGTTGTCAAGCGCCTTTGTGCATCTCAAAGGTGAAGAGCATAACGCGCACAAGGGGCGTGTCAGGGACGGGTGTGCATTGAAGTGTCTTTGAAAGTGCTTTTATGGTGCCCCTCTCTTCCCTCCCGTTGTCACCGTTCAGGCAGAGGGCATCACGAGCACAAGGGATGTGTCAAGGGAGGGTGTGTTGGAGTGGTTCTAGAAAATTCTCATTTGTGCCTCCCTCTCCCTTCCCCTCCCCTCCCCTTGTCTCGAATTAGGCGGAGAGTAACACGAGCACAAGGGATGTGTCAGGAGAGGGTGTGTTGGAGTGTCGTAAGAAGCGTCTTACTGGTGCCTCTCTCTCCCCTCTCTCAATCTCCGCACCCTGTGTGCCTGGACAGGCGGAGGGCATAACGAGCACAAGGGACGTGTCAGGGGAGGGCGTGCAGCAGGCATTGTTGAGAATGCTCGAGGGCGCTGTGAGTAAAGAGGGGGAGGGGGGGGGGGAGGGAGGAGGGGGGTGGTTTATGGGGACATGTGAGCAGAGGTTTGGAGGAGGGTGGGATGACAGGGAGGTGTCAGGGGAGGGTGTGCAGCATCACTTGAGGACGCTGGAGGTCGCTGTGAGTGGGGGGAAGGGGTGGGCTGTAAGGGGATATGATGTGAGCTGGTTTAAAGGGACGGTGGGATGAGAGACACAGGTCTATTGGCGTTTGAGATGGCGTTTCAGGGGAGGGCGTGGAGCCGGCCTTGTTGAGGAAGCTGGAGGGGGCTGTGAGTGTGATGTGAGCATCTATGGCTATTTGTAATCCTTCAGAACGTGCATGATCCTGTTTGTCACATGTGTGTGTGTGTCCCTCAACCTACTGGTAGTGCGGATCTTCTCACTCCCCCTGGGCCCTGGGTGCAGGTGATTAATGTGCCAGAGAAAACGGGGAGGAAGAATCCAAGAGGCGAGTTCATACAGGTACGGGCTACAGGGGTGCGGGAGTGTGGGGGTGCGGGGGTCGCAGGGGTGCAGGGGTGGGGGGGTAGACCGATACCGGAAAACCACAATGAGTATCACACAGTGCAGAATGTGTTCCCCGGTCAATGCTTGCTGCCCCTTGCTCCAGCCCTTGGCATTTGGCCTGCATGCCCCATGCCCCGTCCGCTCCCCCATTCCCCATGGCGCATACCCCATACTGTCCCCCCACTTACCCCACCCCACCAGCTGGACACACAGAACATTCTCTTCATCTGCGGAGGGGCGTTCGTTGATCTGGAAAAGACGATTGCAGAGAGGTGGGGCGGAGGTTGTTGTGTATGTTTTTTTTGAATTCTTTTGAGTGTATGTTTTTTGAGAATTCTCAAAGGACGATTGCAGAGAGGTGAGGCGGAGGTGGTTTGAGCTGACTTCAAATGCACTGATAAGTCTGCTATCGTCACTTTTGAACTACAAGTCGAGGAGTTGAGTCGAGTTGACCTGTGAAGATTGCAGAAAGGTGAAAAGACAATCGCACTGAAGAAGCGCAACCGTGGTTTTGGGGCAGGGCCAATGAAGCTACTGTTGCTCGCCTTTCAGTGCGACTGTCTTCGGCCCAGCAGTGTGTGCTACGAGCAGTGTATGCAGGCAATGTCGGGAATGCAGTCCAATTTTTACTACTTTGCCTACTCTAGTGAGTGACCAGCCCACATTTTAGAAACGACTTTCATTAATTTTCCACATTTTGTATTCTTGTGATGTCTGCAGCCAATGTTAGGAACGGATCTCCTGCCTTACATTGGCCATGCTATGCTAGGCCTTAGAGCTCCTTAGCGCGCATCTCTGCAAGCACTGCAAGCACATACAATGGTGTGTTGACTGCATGTCTCAAATCTTTCTACTACCTCCCTACTTGCAGGAAGCGCAAGTCATCAATCGGCTTTGGGGCCCCCGTGCGAGCATCGCTGCGCAACCGATCGGTGCTTGACGCCCGCACTGCCGGCTCGCTGTTGCAGTTGGTGAGTGCTGCTCCCTTATCGCTGCGTTTTGATGCTTATTATTAGTGCTTATTGGTGGCTTGCATGTGTTATCGGTGCTTGACGCCCGCACAGCCGGCTCGCTGCTGCAATCAGTATGTGTTCCTCTTGCAATCAGTATGTGTTTCTCTTGCAATCAGTATGTGTTCCTCTTGCAATCAGTATGTGTTCCTCTTGCAATCAGTATGTGCTCCTCTGCAATCAGTATGTGTTCCTCTTGCAATCAGTATGTGCTCCTCTTGCAATCAGTATGTGTTCCTCTTGCAATCAGTATGTGTTCCTCTTGCAATCAGTATGTGCTCCTCTTGCAATCAGTATGTGTTCCTCTTGCAATCAGTATGTGTTCCTCTTGCAATCAGTATGTGTTCCTCTTGCAATCAGTATGTGTTCCTCTTGCAATCAGTATGTGTTCCTCTTGCAATCAGTATGTGTTCCTCTTGCAATCAGTATGTGTTCCTCTTGCAATCAGTATGTGCTCCTCTTGCAATCAGTATGTGTTCCTCTTGCAATCAGTATGTGTTCCTCTTGCAATCAGTATGTGTTCCTCTTGCAATCAGTATGTGTTCCTCTTGCAATCAGTATGTGTTCCTCTTGCAATCAGTATGTGTTCCTCTTGCAATCAGTATGTGTTCCTCTTGCAATCAGTATGTGTTCCTCTTGCAATCAGTATGTGCTCCTCTTGCAATCAGTATGTGTTCCTCTTGCAATCAGTATGTCCTCCTCTTGCAATCAGTATGTGCTCCTCTTGCAATCAGTATGTGTTCCTCTTGCAATCAGTATGTGTTCCTCTTGCAATCAGTATGTGCTCCTCTTGCAATCAGTATGTGTTCCTCTTGCAATCAGTATGTGTTCCTCTTGCAATCAGTATGTGTTCCTCTTGCAATCAGTATGTGTTCCTCTTGCAATCAGTATGTGTTCCTCTTGCAATCAGTATGTGTTCCTCTTGCAATCAGTATGTGTTCTTCTTGCAATCAGTATGTGTTCCTCTTGCAATCAGTATGTGCTCCTCTTGCAATCAGTATGTGTTCCTCTTGCAATCAGTATGTGCTCCTCTTGCAATCAGTATGTGCTCCTCTTGCAATCAGTATGTGCTCCTCTTGCAATCAGTATGTGCTCCTCTTGCAATCAGTATGTGTTCCTCTTGCAATCAGTATGTGTTCCTCTTGCAATCAGTATGTGTTCCTCTTGCAATCAGTATGTGCTCCTCTTGCAATCAGTATGTGTTCCTCTTGCAATCAGTATGTGTTCCTCTTGCAATCAGTATGTGCTCCTCTTGCAATCAGTATGTGTTCCTCTTGCAATCAGTATGTGTTCCTCTTGCAATCAGTATGTGCTCCTCTTGCAATCAGTATGTGTTCCTCTTGCAATCAGTATGTGTTCCTCTTGCAATCAGTATGTGCTCCTCTTGCATGCTCTTCTCTTTTTCACGTTCTTCTCTCTTTCATATTCCCTGCTGCTCGTCACTCTTTTCTGCTCTTCCTTCTTTCATACTCTTAACTCTCACATGCTCTCTCCTTTCATTCTCTTCCTTTCATGCTCATTCCCGAGTTTTTGCGGTGATTCATGCCCTATTTGAACGAACCCCTCTTTTCTCCCCCTTCTAACCTCCATTTCACCCTTAATAAACTCCCTCCTCCCTCAACTGTTTATCAACTACAGGCAGAGAGCACGGACCTGATAGCCTATGGGCTCATTCCCGAGTTTGTGGGGCGATTTCCGGTGCTGGTGGGGCTGCATGCTCTCACAGAGGAGCAACTCGTGCAGGTAGGCGCAGTGAAGGTGCATGTGGGAACTGGTGCAGGTAGCAACTGGTGCATGTGGGAACTGGTGCAGGTAGCAACTGGTGCAGGTAGCAACTGGTGCACGTAGGTTCGCAGCAAGTGATACGTGGTTTTGTGTGGTTGCATGCGCTCAAAGAGGGGCAACTGGTGCAGGTGGCAACTAAGTGACCTTACGTCAAATAAGCAATGTCCGCATATGCAGATACATGACTGACCTCTCCCCTCTGTGCAATTTCCATTCACCAGGTTCTCATCAAGCCCAGGGACGTTGTTCTGAGGTGCAAGTATCCCCTTATACAATCTCTCTTCTCTGTGCTGTTCCTTCTAACCAGGTTCTCTTAAAGCCCAAGAACGCTCTCAGCAAGCAGTTTGCAAAGCTATTGGCCATGAACAATGTGAGTGTCGGGTAGGCGTTTTCAAGTTCGGAATGACTGCCGTGCTTTTTACGCATGTAAGAAATGCATTGTGAGCGTTGAATCGATTATTTTCGTTGACCATTATGAGTTTATTGTTGACTGCTGCTGCTGCGCCGTGACTGTGAGAGAAACTGTTTTTACATTCTCGACAATCTCTCACAATACTGCTCGCCCTGACCAGTGTAAGTGCAGTGTAAATTGTTGGTGGTGAGGTGCGACTCTCACGAGTTTTGTCAACTATTATCTCAAGTGCAAGGTGAACTTTGGATCGACTCAATAGTGCATGTTCAGGCTGTTGATTGATTGATAGCAACGGCAGTAGTCATGCTGGCTCTCGTTTTTCCGTCTTTCATACAATCCCTCTTGTCCCTCCTCTCCCACCAGGCTCGCTTGCACATGACGGAGGGCGCAGTGAGGGCCATAGCTCGCAGGGCAGCAGCACTCATTCTTGCCTTCTTCCTTCCCCCTTTGCTCTCTCCACTTCCCCTGTCATTTCCACCAATCAGGCGCGCTTGCACATGACAGAGGGCGCGGTGAGGGCCATAGCGCGCAGGGCAGCAGTCAGTCTCGCCTTCTTCATTCTCCTCGTGCTCACCCCACTTCCTCCTTCAAATCCACCCACCCAGGCGCGCTTGCACATGACAGAGGGCGCGGTGAGGGCCATAGCGCGCAGGGCAGCAGTCAGTCTCGCCTTCTTCATTCTCCTCGTGCTCTCCCCACTTCCTCCTTCAAATCCACCCACCCAGGCGCGCTTGCACATGACAGAGGGCGCGGTGAGGGCCATAGCGCGCAGGGCAGCAGTCAGTCTCGCCTTCTTCATTCTCCTCGTGCTCCCCACTTCCTCCTTCAAATCCACCCACCCAGGCGCGCTTGCACATGACAGAGGGCGCGGTGAGGGCCATTGCGCGCAGGGCAGCAGTCAGTCTCGCCTTCTTCATTCTCCTCGTGCTCTCCCCACTTCCTCCTTCAAATCCACCCACCCAGGCGCGCTTGCACATGACAGAGGGCGCGGTGAGGGCCATAGCGCGCAGGGCAGCAGTCAGTCTCGCCTTCTTCATTCTCCTCGTGCTCTCCCCACTTCCTCCTTCAAATCCACCCACCCAGGCGCGCTTGCACATGACAGAGGGCGCGGTGAGGGCCATAGCGCGCAGGGCAGCAGTCAGTCTCGCCTTCTTCATTCTCCTCGTGCTCTCCCCACTTCCTCCTTCAAATCCACCCACCCAGGCGCGCTTGCACATGACAGAGGGCGCGGTGAGGGCCATAGCGCGCAGGGCAGCAGTCAGTCTCGCCTTCTTCATTCTCCTCGTGCTCTCCCCACTTCCTCCTTCAAATCCACCCACCCAGGCGCGCTTGCACATGACAGAGGGCGCGGTGAGGGCCATAGCGCGCAGGGCAGCAGTCAGTCTCGCCTTCTTCATTCTCCTCATGCTCTCCCCACTTCCTCCTTCAAATCCACCCACCCAGGCGCGCTTGCACATGACAGAGGGCGCGGTGAGGGCCATAGCGCGCAGGGCAGCAGTCAGTCTCGCCTTCTTCATTCTCCTCGTGCTCTCCCCACTTCCTCCTTCAAATCCACCCACCCAGGCGCGCTTGCACATGACAGAGGGCGCGGTGAGGGCCATAGCGCGCAGGGCAGCAGTCAGTCTCGCCTTCTTCATTCTCCTCGTGCTCTCCCCACTTCCTCCTTCAAATCCACCCACCCAGGCGCGCTTGCACATGACAGAGGGCGCGGTGAGGGCCATAGCGCGCAGGGCAGCAGTCAGTCTCGCCTTCTTCATTCTCCTCATGCTCTCCCCACTTCCTCCTTCAAATCCACCCACCCAGGCGCGCTTGCACATGACAGAGGGCGCGGTGAGGGCCATAGCGCGCAGGGCAGCAGTCAGTCTCGCCTTCTTCATTCTCCTCGTGCTCTCCCCACTTCCTCCTTCAAATCCACCCACCCAGGCGCGCTTGCACATGACAGAGGGCGCGGTGAGGGCCATAGCGCGCAGGGCAGCAGTCAGTCTCGCCTTCTTCATTCTCCTCGTGCTCTCCCCACTTCCTCCTTCAAATCCACCCACCCAGGCGCGCTTGCACATGACAGAGGGCGCGGTGAGGGCCATAGCGCGCAGGGCAGCAGTCAGTCTCGCCTTCTTCATTCTCCTCGTGCTCTCCCCACTTCCTCCTTCAAATCCACCCACCCAGGCGCGCTTGCACATGACAGAGGGCGCGGTGAGGGCCATAGCGCGCAGGGCAGCAGTCAGTCTCGCCTTCTTCATTCTCCTCGTGCTCTCCCCACTTCCTCCTTCAAATCCACCCACCCAGGCGCGCTTGCACATGACAGAGGGCGCGGTGAGGGCCATAGCGCGCAGGGCAGCAGTCAGTCTCGCCTTCTTCATTCTCCTCGTGCTCTCCCCACTTCCTCCTTCAAATCCACCCACCCAGGCGCGCTTGCACATGACAGAGGGCGCGGTGAGGGCCATAGCGCGCAGGGCAGCAGTCAGTCTCGCCTTCTTCATTCTCCTCGTGCTCTCCCCACTTCCTCCTTCAAATCCACCCACCCAGGCGCGCTTGCACATGACAGAGGGCGCGGTGAGGGCCATAGCGCGCAGGGCAGCAGTCAGTCTCGCCTTCTTCATTCTCCTCGTGCTCTCCCCACTTCCTCCTTCAAATCCACCCACCCAGGCGCGCTTGCACATGACAGAGGGCGCGGTGAGGGCCATAGCGCGCAGGGCAGCAGTCAGTCTCGCCTTCTTCATTCTCCTCGTGCTCTCCCCACTTCCTCCTTCAAATCCACCCACCCAGGCGCGCTTGCACATGACAGAGGGCGCGGTGAGGGCCATAGCGCGCAGGGCAGCAGTCAGTCTTGCCTTCTTCATTCTCCTCGTGCTCTCCCCACTTCCTCCTTCAAATCCACCCACCCAGGCGCGCTTGCACATGACAGAGGGCGCGGTGAGGGCCATAGCGCGCAGGGCAGCAGTCAGTCTCGCCTTCTTCATTCTCCTCGTGCTCTCCCCACTTCCTCCTTCAAATCCACCCACCCAGGCGCGCTTGCACATGACAGAGGGCGCGGTGAGGGCCATAGCGCGCAGGGCAGCAGTCAGTCTCGCCTTCTTCATTCTCCTCGTGCTCTCCCCACTTCCTCCTTCAAATCCACCCACCCAGGCGCGCTTGCACATGACAGAGGGCGCGGTGAGGGCCATAGCGCGCAGGGCAGCAGTCAGTCTCGCCTTCTTCATTCTCCTCGTGCTCTCCCCACTTCCTCCTTCAAATCCACCCACCCAGGCGCGCTTGCACATGACAGAGGGCGCGGTGAGGGCCATAGCGCGCAGGGCAGCAGTCAGTCTCGCCTTCTTCATTCTCCTCGTGCTCTCCCCACTTCCTCCTTCAAATCCACCCACCCAGGCGCGCTTGCACATGACAGAGGGCGCGATGAGGGCCATAGCGCGCAGGGCAGCAGTCAGTCTCGCCTTCTTCATTCTCCTCGTGCTCTCCCCACTTCCTCCTTCAAATCCACCCACCCAGGCGCGCTTGCACATGACAGAGGGCGCGGTGAGGGCCATAGCGCGCAGGGCAGCAGTCAGTCTCGCCTTCTTCATTCTCCTCGTGCTCTCCCCACTTCCTCCTTCAAATCCACCCACCCAGGCGCGCTTGCACATGACAGAGGGCGCGGTGAGGGCCATAGCGCGCAGGGCAGCAGTCAGTCTCGCCTTCTTCATTCTCCTCGTGCTCTCCCCACTTCCTCCTTCAAATCCACCCACCCAGGCGCGCTTGCACATGACAGAGGGCGCGGTGAGGGCCATAGCGCGCAGGGCAGCAGTCAGTCTCGCCTTCTTCATTCTCCTCGTGCTCTCCCCACTTCCTCCTTCAAATCCACCCACCCAGGCGCGCTTGCACATGACAGAGGGCGCGGTGAGGGCCATAGCGCGCAGGGCAGCAGTCAGTCTCGCCTTCTTCATTCTCCTCGTGCTCTCCCCACTTCCTCCTTCAAATCCACCCACCCAGGCGCGCTTGCACATGACAGAGGGCGCGGTGAGGGCCATAGCGCGCAGGGCAGCAGTCAGTCTCGCCTTCTTCATTCTCCTCGTGCTCTCCCCACTTCCTCCTTCAAATCCACCCACCCAGGCGCGCTTGCACATGACAGAGGGCGCGGTGAGGGCCATAGCGCGCAGGGCAGCAGTCAGTCTCGCCTTCTTCATTCTCCTCGTGCTCTCCCCACTTCCTCCTTCAAATCCACCCACCCAGGCGCGCTTGCACATGACAGAGGGCGCGGTGAGGGCCATAGCGCGCAGGGCAGCAGTCAGTCTCGCCTTCTTTATTCTCCTCGTGCTCTCCCCACTTCCTCCTTCAAATCCACCCACCCAGGCGCGCTTGCACATGACAGAGGGCGCGGTGAGGGCCATTGCGCGCAGGGCAGCAGTCAGTCTCGCCTTCTTCATTCTCCTCGTGCTCTCCCCACTTCCTCCTTCAAATCCACCCACCCAGGCGCGCTTGCACATGACAGAGGGCGCGGTGAGGGCCATTGCGCGCAGGGCAGCAGTCAGTCTCGCCTTCTTCATTCTCCTCGTGCTCTCCCCACTTCCTCCTTCAAATCCACCCACCCAGGCGCGCTTGCACATGACAGAGGGCGCGGTGAGGGCCATTGCTCGCAGGGCAGCAGCGCGCAACACGGGGGCCAGGGGGCTGCGATCGCTGCTGGAGGGGCTGCTCACCGAGGCTATGTACGAGGTACGGTGGCTGCCGAGGCTGTGTACGAGGTATGCCAGTCACCGAGGCTCGGTGGTTACTGGGGTATCCATGCGGCAGGGTTCTCACTTACCGAGGCTGTGAACAAGGTATGGTTGTTACCGATGCTATGAGGTAAGTGGCATCCTAGTATTTGTGATAGGTTCGGTGGTCACCAGGGCTATGAGTGAGGTACTAGGGTTTACCATGGCTTTGTATGAGGTACGGATACCCTGCTTTCCTCCACCCATCCCTGCTCTCCCATGCCTAATCTCCCTTTCCATCCCACCATCCACCATCCCATCCCTCAACTCACCAGGTCCCCAGCTCTCTGGTGGAAGCAGTGGTTCTGGACGAGGCATCGGTGGGACACGAGGGGGAGGAGGCGGCGAGCTGTGTAATGGACCATCATCATTGCCCGCATCCCATCTCCCATCCATCACCCCATGCCCCAACTCCCCAGGTCCCCAGCTCTCTGGTGGAGGCAGTGGTGTTGGACGAGGCATCGGTGGGGCACGAGGGGGAGGAGGGGGAGGACGGTGTACCGGGGTGTGGGGCCCACATACTGCAAGGAGAGGGCGCGTGGGAGCGGTGGTTGCAGGAGAATGAAGGGGGGGGAGAGAAGGATGGAGGGAAGGGAGAGGAGAGCCAAGGGGGAGGAAGCAAGGGAGGTTCATCTGGGGGAGGTGGAAGTGATGAGGAATCGGATGCAGCTCCTGCTCTTGCCACAGCCACTGCAGCTTGATCTGCCTTGTTGTCTCCTGTCGAGCACCTGTCTACCACGCTTGGTGGGTTTTGAGTCGACTCAAATCGCATGAGGAATCGGACTCAGCTCAGCTGCTGCTCTTGCCACGGCCACTGCCGCTTGATCTGCCACCTCACCTCATCTCCCATCCAGCATCTGTCTACTACCCCTTCAATGGAGATGGGCTGTGGGATGTCATCGTCTGTGTGTATATGCCTCTTCTCTTCTCTCTCGCTGAGTTCAAACACTTTGTCTGCCTCCCATGGCATGTTTTCCTGCAAGTTCTGTACTTCATGTATGATATACGTTCAATATTGTGAAATTTTGTGAGTGATCTATTTGAAGAAACATTCGTAGCAGATTCATGGGTTGAGAAACAATGACCAAAACAGTTCCGCCATTATAGCAACTAAGACTGTAATGGCGGTTCTTAAATAGAAACTGGAAACTTCTACAGCGGGGGAGGATAGGTTGGAAGTTGGTGGTGGGTGGTTCGCAAGGCCGCGTTTGCTGGTGTCGATAGTTTCCAGGCTGGTGAGTAGCGGTTCAAAGCGATGAAGCATTACAAGAAGGTTACAATCCGTTCTTTTCTGGTCAATCTCGTAAACCAACCGCTACAAGTGCTTAGTCAACCACTTTAGAACGCCAAGCAACCTAATGAACCGCTACCAAATTTAAAGCCGAGAATATGGCTCTCTCCTGGACATTGTTTTTCTAGTGACGTGGTAGGTATTTCCAGAAACGCGCATTGACCTCGTCCCGCATAAACTCCGCTATTACTACGAGCAAAGACCACGACAAACAGACAAGTATTTAGTAACATACTACAGACTTCGCAAGGCAGCCAATGAGATAGTGAGATTCATTCCTCCCAGTCACACTCTTTGACGATGCATTCGTTCAGGAATCACGGGCCGACGAAAACGGATCACCGAGGCGCACCGGGTAACCAGCCGGCGAAATTAGATAGTGCGAATCCGGCGATTCTCCCGTGGCACGTGCTGCTCGTTCTCTTCGTCGCCGTGCAAGCCTACTCGCTCCGCACGCTAATCGTGTATCCGCCGTCCATTCTCTCCGCATCCGACGGTCACCTGCAGCACCACCACCATCAGCGGCAGCAGCAGCAGCCGACGCTTCAGCAGCAACAAAAGCAGCATCTGGAGCGCGAATGGTTGGAGCGCGCCGAGCCGGTTTCCGCGGCGGAGCAAGCAGGGAATGAGATGGAACGGGCGGGGAGCGGGGAGGCGGGGAGGAGCGACGATGGATCGGAGCGCAGCGACGCGACGGGGACGCGGGGAAGGTAATGAAGGTGGGAGGGTGGGTAGGGTGTGGAAGGGTGGGGAAGGCGGGAAGGGTGGGGAAGGCGGGGAGGGTGGGGACGGCGGGGAGGGTGGGGAAGGCGAGGAGGGTGGGGAATGGAGGGAATTTGGGGAGGGTGGGGAGGGTGGGGAAGGTACGCTGCTCTCGCTCCGCCTCTTGTCCACGTGTGTGCATTCGTGGCGTTCCTGATTTGTCGCTAAGCCACTCCACTCCAGTCCCCAGTGTGTTAGAACGCAATTACCTGGTACATTTGAACCAATGCTCCTAATAATATTGATCTGCCAATTCGCCCTGTCACCCCTCACTCCCCCTTGCCTTGGCCCTCACTCCCACCTATCTCCCCCTCACTTTTCCCTGTCTTCCCTTATTCCCCCCCTGCCTCTTTTTCGCCGCAGCCCTTCTATTCAGTAGTAAATTTGCACCTCGTACACCCCTTCTCACCTTTCCACCTGCCCTCCAGGCACCTCCTCTCAGACCCTGGGCAGAAGAAAAAGAAGAGCGGAGTCACAACAGCAGAGGACGTGGACTTCTTTCTGCGCCGCCGCTTCCCCTCCTGCAAGCTGGAATATATCGGCGGGCAGCCCGGGCAGGCGAAAGGAAAAGGCGAGGGAATCGTGTGGCCCGTGTGCTCCGACCACCTGCGACCAAGAGGAGTCGTGTACTCGTTTGGAGTGGGCCCGAACCTTCTGTTTGAAGGCGAAATGACCTTGAGAGGACAGCAGGTGAGGGGTAGGGTGGAGGGGCGGGGGGAGTGTGGGGGCGAATGAGCTTGAACTTCTTGTTTAAGGCGAAGTGACTTTGAGAGGGCAGCAGGTAAGGCAGGGGTTTTGTGAGATGGGAAGGGGTAGTGTGTGGTATGATTGGATCCCCTGTGACTAAGAGGATTCGTTTATTCGTTTGGTGGCAGCCCTAATCTTCTGTTTGAAGGCGAAATGACTTTGAGAGGGCAGCAGGTGAGGGGAGGAGGTGGTGTGGGTGGGAGGGGGGTGGAGCGGGAAGTGTGGGGACGAATGAGCTTGAACTTTTTGTTTGAAAGGGGAAATGATTTGAAGCGGACAGAAGGTGAGGCGGGGGTTGTGATGATTGGCTCACCTGCACCGAAAAAGGAGTCGTGTACTCGTTTGGCGTCGGCCCGAATCTCTTGTTGGCAGGTGAGTTGATTTTGAGCAGCAGGTGAGGTGAGGAAGATGTGAGGAAGAGCCGAGGATGAACTTGCGAGGACGGCGTTCATCCTCAATGTCATTCGTATTCCAAGTTCTGAGGTGCCTCGAAGGAACTATGCATTCATTCTGTGTCGTTCCTTTCAATTGCAGCCATGGAAGTGGTTTGTGTGCGACACCTTTGTCAACCCACCCGCATTCCCCTCTCAATGCTCCAACCTTACTTACAATCGCTGCTCTCTTTCCACCTTGCAAAATGGGGGCAGGAATCCCCACCCCACTGGGTTCGCCTGAAAGACCCCCTCCTTTAACCCCCTCCACAAAAAAAGTGACAAAGAAAAACACTCTCTCACACCCCACCAGTCCCCCCTCGTCCAGGTAGTTAGGTGTTCTATCCAATTGAACTACAAGGAACTAAGGCAAGCCACTCAACGTGGGCGTGCGATGTCTGTTCGACCCTTTCGTCAACGACACCACCTTCTCCTCCCTGCTCCCGCCGTCGGCGCAGTTCTTATTCCCCACATTCCTCCGCACCTTACCACCCTCCCTTACCTTCCAGGTGTTTGTGTTCGACCCCTTTGTCAACAACACCTCCTTCTCCTCCATGCTTCACCCATGCAATTGCCGCTCCCATCTCCTCTTCCTCCATTATACCATGCCCCACCGATCCAAAATCCTCCTTCTCTCGCAGGTGTTTGTGTTCGACCCCTTTGTCAACGACACCTCCTTCTCCTCCATGCTGCAGCCTTTTCATCGCTGCTCATTCCCCTCCTTCCACACAGAACTTATTCAACCCCCCCCCTTCCTACCTCCCCCCCCCCACCCCCCCTCTCTCTCACAGGTGTTTGTGTTCGACCCGTTCGTCAACGACACCACCTTCGCCTCCCTGCTCCAAATATCCAACCTCTGCTCGCTTCTCCTCTTCCTCCTTCCACACCACACCCTACCCCCACCCACCCCCCTTTCCCTTTCTCGCAGGTGTTTGTGTTTGACCCTTTCGTCAACGACACCTCCTTCTCCTCCATGCTCAACCCCATCAAGGGCCTCTCCCCCCGTCGCTCCCCCCAGTTCCGCCCCTTCGCCCTAGGACCCCGAGACGGAGTCGCCCTCTTTCACCCCATACCCTCTACCTCCTCTTCCTCCTCCTCCTCCTCCCCCTCGTTCTCTGCATCCTCTGCTGCTTCCTCCGCCTCTTCGGCTCAAGAGACACGGGAGGCAGTGGTGCTGTGCCTGCGCACGTTCATGTGCATGCACTCCCACCGTTGGATCGACATCCTACGGCTGGATATCGCCGGGCTGGAGCTCGACCTCTGCCAGCAGCAATAGCAGGAGGAGGAGGTGGGGGAGGAGGGGGATTAGGAGGAGGAGATGCGTTCGGCACGAGTGTGGGAGACCTGACGCAACATGGCGCCGCGGCATTGGCCGAGAAGACCCCCGTGGGGCCCACGCCAGGGAGCGTTCCGATTGGCCAGGTGGCGGTGAGGTTCCATGCTGAGCTGGCGGGGAGGGACGGGGCGAAGAGGCGGCAAAAGTGTGAGGAGACGTTTGCTGCGTGGGGGCTGAAGAGAGTGCATGTGATGGGGGATGGGAGCACTGTGCTGTTTGCTCGCACTGATGCTCCTGCTGAGTTCTAATGCACTAAAGGGTGTTGTATGATGTACCGTACCGTATTCTTCTGGCTGTAGGACTCTGGATTCTCCTTGCACTTGAGAACGAAATCAAAGGTGGAGCTAGATTATGGCCAGGCCACTCAATTATAAGCGCACCCTTTGAAAAAACGCGCTTTATTGCCCTATAAGCGCAGCAGACGCTCTTATACTCGGGATAACACGGTACATGTCAAATCCCGTGTTCAATCTGAAATACAATAGTAAAATTAGGGTTGTTTTTACCTGGTGAAAAGAATTATGGAGAAATAAATCATTTTCTAATAACACCTTGGGGCCACTATATGGCCGGTGGTAAATACAGAAATAGTGAGAGAAACAAGATTAAATTGATAAATGCATTATGGTAATAGTGAGAGAAACACTTGTGCTTGAAACGGCTGGTGCTCTGGAACGTGACAAACCTGCCACTTGGACAGCTTCTGACGGTGTCAACTTTTGTCCCTTTGCACGAGCTGCTCCTGGGTCAATACAACAGTGCATCCGGATGGTTGGGGTTTCGATTTGATCCTGATCAGTGTACACAGCTTCTACGGGGTGAATCCAGCAATGCAAAGCTAAGCAGCATGTATCTAATCGAGCCTGCCTATACACAGTACGTACCGCACCCAGACGCAATGCCATGTTGGCATTCAAGGCATGCGCTCTCTGATTCTGGGGATACATCGCTAAACCACACCAGCAGAGTCATGTGAAACAGACGCAGTGCCCCGACACACACACAGTTTGCAAACACTACCAGTTGGACGCGACACTGGTGTTTTCAGTCTGAACGTCGTTTGTTGCGGGACCCACTTCCAGTATTTTTTTTACAGAAATAGCTAGTGAAAGTGCTCATGGTAGGAGCTTTCTAAGCTAGTCCCGATTTTCTGGAGCATTCTGTCGGCGGACCCTGTTTTTTTCAGGGAAATTTTCCTAGGGATCCCGCAGCGTCCGAGCTGGCGATGAACGGAATGTACGGAATGCCGGATGCAGAATGCAGCTTGGGGAATGCAACTCAGCTTTGGGAAGCACGCCAACGTTGCAATGAATTCCAGCGCTGAAATGCTGTGGTGGAATGTCATTACAGTTTAGGGTTTGTTTTCCATAAACTCAGCGCATTATCCGCATCACCCACGTTGCGAGCGAAGGGCGGAGTTTCAACCGCATCATCCGCATCACCCAACGGCGCATTATCCATCCCACATTACTATTCCATCATTCCTGCTTGTGAGGCACTATGGCCTTGTTCTGCAGGCGCATCAGGCCGCATCCGGCCGCATCAATGTACATTGATGCAATTTCCCGGGGTTCCAGGATCCTTGGTTGATAACCTGCCGACAGGTTATCAAGGCTCGCGATAAGCGCATCAGAGCCGAGGCAGACAAACCCAGAATGCCTGCAGAACGGCCTTTTTGGCGACCAAAATTTCCTATGTCGCCACGCTCTCGGATGTTTCTCGTCCTAGCAATCGGGCGCATTTGAAATGCGCGCATCATGCAACTTCGAAAAGTCGATTCATGCGCGCATCAGGCAAATTCGAAAAAAATACTGCAACCTCATTGGCCAATCGTTTTGGCACCTCCGAAATTCAGCGACATCTAACTTCCCAGAAACCTGGGAAATTCATAATGTTGAAATTCGCCAGGAAATTGAATGTCCAATTTCCTGACCTCAATTGAATTTCGTCAAAATTTCAAAGCCTCAATTCGACATGTCCGAACCTAAATTTCGCAATTTCAATTTCGCCATTTCCGACCCTCGATTTTCCAATGTGCGCATCAGTCCGAGCCTCCGGCGCATCAGAGCTGATGCGCCTGCAGAACACGGCCTATCTCTCTTCTGTGTTTCGCGAGATTGGTCAAATTTTGTAGAACAGTTGTTCTGTGCCGCACAGTCGGAGCTTTCGTATCCAAACCGAGCCTGCCTCGGCACCGGAATGCGATGCAATGTTGAATGCATCCAGCTTCGGGTGGCATCTAACGCCGCCGTTCGGATGTGCAGCTCAGCTTCGGAATGCAGTCCAGCGCTGCAGCGCAGTCCAGCGTGGAAAGACAAATTGGAATCTTTTTGAAGTTATCCTTTTCCACTTGCAACGCTGGGATCCAGCTTTCAAGTTTCCGTGCGCGCGGCGCAGCTTACTGGTGTTTCTACTGTTCAGCTCACACCTCACCACACGCCCACCAATCCCCGCTCGTCTTCAGACCGTCATGCTGGAGCTGAGTCAGATTAAGTCAAGCAATCCACGTCATTGAGTCAATCTGGCCATGTCAGATCTGGGATGCGCTGGCTGGCGACGTGAGCAATGGAAAGTCAATTTTTTTGGCACCCACAGAGGAGGCGGAAGGGCGGGAGGACATAGATTTTTTCGTAGAGGAAGGGCGGGAGTTCCAGTGACCGCATCCGGCAGGAGGCGGAACTGGACAGGAAGTATTTCAGAGAGCCATCCCAGACGGCAAAGCATTCATTCCTGGCTGCGTTTCCAATCTGAGATTGCTCACCTGATCAACATCGTCATTGTCATCGCTTCGGAAACTCTCGGATCAAACTATGGCTGCATTCTACGTGGCTAGTAGGATGCGAGGCTCTGGCCTTGTACTCGCTGCTGCACTGGCTACTCTCATGCTCTCTCATCCCAAAGTATCACCCGCGTGCCTGCATACTATGTACTATCAATCTAGAGTGTACGTACTATCTCGCGTCTCCACACCAGTGGAGTATGTACGAACATATGCTAATACACTTAAACTACTCCTCACCCCCGCATACAGTCAGGGCACTGTACCAACCCTGCTGGTACTCTGCGGGGGTTGCGAGTCCCCGCACTGTGATTGCTCACCCGAAACTCCATCCCGTGATGATGACTGGCGATGCAGTACGCACATCCTCGGTAGTTGCCTCGGTGGCGCAGTGCAGGTAAACACTGCACACATTGTGGCAACTACATCCGACATAACAGGGTAACACGAGTAACTCTGTGTAACAAAACAATACATTTTTATAAAAACCACCCGTTATCTTCATAGAACTAACTCTTGGTTATGAAATCATTAATTTATTCATAAATAAAAGGACGCCTTTCGTCCACTACATTAAAGCACAACATGCTAAGGCATCGTACGACATCCCAACCACTATCACACACGGTCTAGGGTTCATCGTCCTCATCCCCCGCGCCATCATGGCTTGCCGAGGCATCCGCAAAATCCTTGTCCTCCTTCTCATCCCCCACAATCTCCTCTGGCAGACCCCTCACTGCCTCCAGGGGCGGGAACTTGATGAAGACATTGAAGTGCTTGCCGGGGCTAAAGCGCCACGCCTCTTCTTCGGCCACCCATACTGGCCCACCATCCTGCCCAGCCCACTGCATGATGGCTGCCCTCAGCCAGTTGCGCACGATTGCGCACATGCGCGCCGCGTTGTGCATGTTGGGGGAATCCTTAGTAGAAAGGTCTGTCTTCCCAGTGGAGTAGTGCATGATGGGGTACTCGGCCTGCACCACAATACCGAGTGATATGCTATGATGGTTAGGGTAGGAATGGGTGGGACATGGGCAGGTGAAAGCAGACAACGTTTCTCAGAACAACAAAATTATGACCACCATGCACACTGTAGCGCTCACCCCGTACAGCGCGTACCCCAGGGTGTAGGGGTACACCCTCACATTCTTGCCATCAAGAATGCGACTGTAGGCAGCCGCGATGAAGATCTCGAACTGTCACGTTGCAAAGGGCATCCCTTTCCCGTCACAATGCCACGTGAGAGAAAACCCCCCTGCAGTGGATTGGGAACAGGTTGGGAACCATCGTGGCAGGGGCGGGATGGGGGGAGTGTGGGTGTTTGAAGGTGTAAGTAAATATGTGACATCGTGCACGCGATAGTTGTTCGCATGGTAAAATAGCGGATCTGCGAGCGTGAAAAAGTCAGAAAGTCGGGAAACCGTACGCGGGACAAAGTCACTGAAGGCCTGCTGCAGCGTGCGCTGGTCCTTCGTCTTCACCTTGCGCCACGGAACGTCGGAGGGCATGTCTGCGCACCCCCGTGGAATGCCCACTGCCCAAAACAGTATGGTTTTCCCATGCCGAGTTATGGCCCCCCGAATACGCGTCGTCATCCTGTTCCAAGCCTTGATGTGGGGCATCGAGTCCGTCAGGCAGAGTTTCAGCGCTGGCAGTTGTACCGGCCTGATGATCTCGATGTCAAGACAAGCCTGCGCAGCGACAGCTGGTTTCGGCCACATGGACAGGTGCCTCTCACCGCCAGCCGGGACACGGGAGACGCATCGCAAATATGCAGGCACCAGCTTTTTCTGCGGGAGTGGTGGATAGGGGGGGTAAAGGTAATACGCGCTGGACGGTGAAGCGAAGGTGACCGGCCAGACCAGCCTAGGATATGCTACACTACGTCAGCATAGTCGTCCGCCGCCGCCCGCCTCCTGTGGGCGGGAGTGGGGGGGAGATAGAGGTAAGGAGGAGAGGTGTTGGACGGGAGAAAGGAAGGGTTGCTGCCAGCCGCGCTTTGCTTGTGCGCAACGCACCTCCGGTGCCGAAGGGGGAAGCCAGGCCGCTGACAAAAGGGGAGGGATGAACCGAGGAGAAGGGGCGGACGGGCAAGGGAATGTGAGCTGCAAGCCGCGCCATGCCCGGGCACGAACACGTCATCACCTGTCAGACACTGCAGCGTCATTAGAGTTAGCGAGCAGCAAATGCAATCCGAGCACATCATGTGCGCGACAAGTGCATCACCGGGCTTACCGACATAGCTTTCGGCGACATTAACGCCTTTGCCGCGAGCGCGACCTCTGCATTGAAGTCCAGCGGGGACGGGTCATTACTACCAGAACCCGGCGCAGGCGTGGGCTGAGTCGGCGGGGAAAGTGGGACGCTTGACAAGGCCTCCAGTATCGCGCGTCTCACGTCGGCAGCCGTGACCTGCTTAGGGAGATATTCTTTCAGGAAAGTACTGAGCTCAGTCAACACGCGTTTGTTGTCTCGCACGCCGCGCTGCAACTCCGAAACCTGGGCCGTGAGTGTAGAGATGTGCGTGTCGCCATCAACCTGGCGAGTCCCAGTCCAGCCAAACTCCGTTAAGCCATGGGTAGCACGTCCACTCGTACCGTTGACGCCCTGCGTGCGTTCTGCCTGGGCTGTAAGTTCCAAAGAGTGGGCACGCAGGGTACACAGGACTTGTGAGGCGTGCATCGTACTGTCACATCCGGCCTGACAAACAACACGGAAGAGGTCCAGGCGTAAGCGTGACACAAATATCACATCTGCTGAGTATGGGTGCGGAGCAGATAAATGTGACACGGGTCCGGCATACTCTCGAGCCATACGGCAATCCGTCTAAGCGGAGGACGGCAAGCCTCTGGTGGTACCTGTTGTGCCGTTGCCGTCCCGCTGACGAGTCGTACTTGGGCTCTTGTTCACATGCCCGAAGTCACGACGCACATGTTGTCCTCGCCCGGCTTGACCGTGACCGCGCGGCTCCTCCTCCACGTCTGCGAGAGCAATCGTGTGTGGAGGGAATGCTAAGAAAAAAACTGAACGTCACCGATATTTGGGTCTCAACAAATGACGAACCGACATGATGCAGCGTATGCAACATCTGCTTCACGGGGTTGCTGTACCACTCCCATTACCTGGGTGGAATGCAGCACGTCCACTCAGTGCGTTGACGCCCTTTGTGCGTTCCACAAGGGCTGTGTGTGACAACGTGAGGCAGGGTCGGAACAAAGGACGTGTGAGGGTTGCTGTGTGTAACCGCGGCTGAATCAGCAAAAACACAGGAGCCACCGCCCGAAGGTGGCACCCGAACGAAAAACTCAAAGCAGCAAAGGCGCGACGGATCGTAGTATGCTAGGTGTGTGCACTCATGCTACTGGACACACGGTCCAATGCGGCTCTCACGTGGGCTAAGGAAGCCCGACTGCCCGAGATTCCGACGCACGGATTGCCCTCTTCCTGCCTGACTGTTGACACGCGAGTCCTCCTCGTGTTCTGCAAGAAGGGAAGGAAGTGTTAGCAAAGCTCCTAAAACCGTTGTCGCACCAGTAATCAAATCGCCCTTCAGTGAAAACGTGACTAACCTGAGCCGTTGCCGTCAGCTTCGTCATCATCGTCAGCGCTCGCATCGCCCTGGTCCTCCAGGTCAGAAGCAACGCCCGTACGACGACCCAACGCCTTGATTGTTCGGTCGTACTCTTCATCGGTGACCGCGATCATCCTCTTCTTACCGCCCTGTTTACGACGACCGGTCTGGGCCCGCGTGTGGGCGCTGTCCCACTCATCGCCGGAATACAGGGGGTTATCCCTACGCTGGCGCTTATCACGCCTTGTACCACCCAGGCTTCCTGATGGTTCGGCATCTTCCGCCATCGTGGAACAAGCACGCTACAACATGCTCAATAAAACGCTGCATGCTTCTTATACAGCCTGAAAGCCAGAGGGTGGAAGAATGCAATGGAACGAAGACCGACTTACCTAGGGTTTGAGAGGTCCAGGTAAGGCATCAACAAGGTAGGGCGGGACAGGGACGAGGGTTTGAAAGACGAGCGGAGGATCGATCCACAACCTGGGAATTTAGCCAATCCCGTATCCTGTGAATGCCATCTGCGCCCAGCCGTTGATTCACACAATTGATCGACAACTCTATGTTGAGCTGCCAACCCATCCGATAAGGGGAGAGGTGGGAGGTGGGTTGGATAACATCCCACTAAGCTACCCGTGCACTGCCATCCGTCGATTTGGAAATGATCTACACCTCAACCTCCTCTCGAGTTGTTTAGTAACCAACACAACCCAATTGGGCCGAGGAGTATTGGTGTTATGGATCACAGCCATGATCTGACCGTTCATGTGTAGTCTCTAATCAATGGCGCGAGCGCAGTTTGCGATCATCCACGGCTACGCAAGCATTCTAGCAAACCTTGATAGAATCTACGGTTCACAATCCAACTTGGGTGAGGCAAAACGAGAGCAGCAATTTCCCACCCTGACGCAAGGCCAAGGTGAGTGGGTATAAGGCAGTAGAGTGTTGTGCATACGGCACAATAATTCTCCACAGCAAAATGTCTGAGCGCCCAGTCAAGTCAGAGCCACCCGAGTATGTTGTCCTAGAAGACTCACAGCCCGTAGCCATGGACGACGGGACTACCAACAGCGACGACAATCCTCACCCGCCACCTACCGTCACGCAGAAACGGCTTGATGTTAACTTTCGGGAGAACTGGAAGTTTTTCTACGGCGAGTCTCCGATTGACGAAGCTGACGTTGAAAATGGTGCTGGGCCTGTTAGCCCGGCCGCTGACGATGTCAAGCCTGCTGCGAAAACGGCATCCCTGGCAAAGATGGCGCGCCCCAGAACTCTGCGTGCAGCACGTTTGGCGGAAGCATCCAAGTGCGACGCGGAGAAGAAGAGTGTGGCAGCCCGGTTTCGGCGCGCCAGGCCGAAATGGATCGATGATGAACCCTGGCTCACCAAAACTATGTCCCGGGGTGCGCGGAAGCGTGCTGCACCAGACAATGTGCCTGCCCCGCCTGAAACCACAGACCACCGGGCGGGTCAGGCGCACAAGCGCCGCAACGGAGTTGGAGAAGCTACCCAACACTGCATATTATGCTCTACCGAGCATGGGAGTGCCGGAGGTGATTCTTGAGCCTTACCCACGCCCTTTTCACTAACATTGCCATGCTTCTGATCGCAACACTCAAACGTCCCATTACCCCGTGTACCCGTATGTTGTCTGTTCAGCAGGGACTCGTGCAGCACGTGGTCGCGACGACAGTCGGACCCCGTGGGCCCGTTACGACAGGCACATAGAGATGTCGCTACGCTTGATGCCTCCGCATTGCAACGTTTACATCCTCGATTCTTCGACTCGGTCGAACGACGACCCTCAGTATCAGTCGGAACCCGAGGATGAGGCGTTATGAGCCACATTTGTGCTATTTCTGTGTGTTAGCACTGTCAACTGTTTGCTCACCCTTATTTAAGTTATTGGAGTCTTTAAGTTTTGTATTGCCCCTTTGCAATCAGCCAAGAACTAATGGATACACGATGGCAACCATTCAGAGTCCACCCAAAGCGGACGCACTCATAAATTTTATTTTCCATACTTCAGCATTATATTTTACAAATTACAAACAACAGGATACCACACTGTTACATGCTTCTAGTATGATAAAGTCTCGCTTGTAGTGTGGTCTTGTACTCTGACAATCTGGGATGGACTTGCCGAGAACAGTGCAGTGCGGTGCAAAGGGATTTCTCGTCTCTGAAACGGATGCTTCGACAGAAATATACGGAGAGAAACCGGTGCAAACGTGCCACGCTTTACCGCACAACATCGCTGACAACCACTTGTTTAAAGCTCGCGTCTCATATTTCTGTGTCCCAACCAAGTGTTAAACGCTTGGTATCCGGTAACCCTCAAACTGTCGCACAACTCCACTGAAGGTTGGCCCAGGTTGAAACGATTGGTTGGGAACCTACAAACTTGCTTGGCGGTATGCGCAGGGACGTGCCAAACCAATCATGCGATCGTGCACCCAGGTAGGTTTGGAAAACACACCTGCACGGCGACAACACGATCGCCCAAACTCCCCCACCGGCGACCAGGTTGTCGCACGAATCAAGCATTTACAACAGCTGAAAAATATGAGACTGACAGAACTCAGAAACCCGATTTCGCACTAGCACTAGGCTCAGGTTCAAGAGTAAAACTCTTTCCACTAGCAACCGCGGTTACCTCTTACACAAAAGTTAGATTCTCGTTGATCAGCATATACGGCCGACCTATAAACTTGAAATTAGGTCTTCATTTATCAGTATCAGCGGCGACCAGGGTACATCCCGTGCTTATCGTGAACCATGTCCAGGTAATGAGGCGCGCCAGGTAAGGGACGCGATGGGGCAGGACGGGACAGTACGGGAAGCGACGGGACTGGACAGGACTGGACGGGAAGGGACTAGAGGGACGGGACGGGACGGCACAGGAAGGTAAGAATCTCGACGAGGGGCCGGGAGGGGACGTGACGGGAAGGCGGGATGCGACGAGACCGGACGCAAATGGAAGGGAGGGAAGAGGAGCACGCGGAAGGGGCGGGATGCGACGGTACGGGGCGGAAACGGGAGGGACGGGAGGGGACGCGACGAGGGGGCGTGCATGCAGGGGGTCATGCATGAATGCAGGTCCTTGGCGTAGCAGGGTGAAGAGCACATCGTGTAATACAGCACAGCACAAGTACAGCGCACAGTGCAGCAGCGCCTGGACGAGTGGGGCGATTGCGAGCGCAAGTGCAGCCAGTGGCGCGAAGCCGCCAAACATGTCCCAAAACTCGGTCGTCCAGCTTGCCGTCGACTGGTTGCAGGGGGGATGGGGGCCGAGCGGGGGAGTGGGAGAGGGAGCGAAGCAGGAGCAAGTAGGGAGCGGAGGAGCGGAGAGAGGAGGGGAAGGGCGGGAGAGAGGCGGCGGAAGAGGGAGAGAAAGGAGCGGGAGGAGAGCGGGGGAGAGGCGGGTTGGAGTGGAGGCGGGGAGAAGGAGCAGGGGGGGGAGGGGAGGGGGTAGGTGGGATGTGGAGGGGAGGAAATGGGAGGGGAGGTGAGTGGAGACAGGAAATGCGCTCCTGCTTGCCGGCGTTCATCCTCCCTATCTCCGTTCTCTCCTCCCCAACCCCTTTTCCTTTCCCCCACCCCCCTTGCCTTTCCACTCATTCTCCCTGCCGCCCTGATTAGGTGCGAACGACGGGTTGCGATAAATCCCGTCATTCCCCCTTCTGCTCCCCATCAATTCCCGCTCTGCTTTTCCATCAATTTCCCCTCTGCTCTCTATTTCCCCCCCTGCTTCTCCTCCGTTCCCCCCCTGCTTCCCCCCATCCCCTTCCCTGCTTCCCCCCATCCCCTTCCCTGCTTCCCCCCATCCCCTTCCCTGCTTCCCCCCATCCCCTTCCCTGCTCCCCCCCATCCCCTTCCCTGCTTCCCCCCATCCCCTTTCCTGCTTCCCCCCATCCCCTTTCCTTCTTCCCCCCATCCCCTTTCCTGCTTCCCCCCATCCCCTTTCCTGCTTCCCCCCATCCCCTCAGCCCTCCTTCCCCCCACCCTCTGCCCTGTTCCACCCTGCCCTCCCCATCCCTGCCTTTCCCTCCCTGCCCTGCGCTTCCCTTCCCCATCCCTTCTCAACCCTTCCCTTCCTTTTCATGCCCTCCCCTTCCCCTTCACACCTCACCCGCCCACTACCGTAGTTCCCATGCATGTGCACCCATCACTGTCTCCCCACATGCTTTCATCATGTGCGCTTGCTTGTGTTCCCTTGCAGTTGTTCCTTTGGCACCTCACACCACCTCCCCCATGTTCCTTCACACAATTATTCCTGCCTACTCCACTCCCTGTATTTTCAGTGGTGAAGCAGAGGAGCAAGCTGAGGCGCAGCTAAAGCTAGTCCACGCTCTATACCGTACCACCACCTGTTTTTCTTGTGTGTTGTATGCAAGCATGATACTGTATTAGTGTAGGAGATATCCATATCAAAGGCACAATATGTACTTTTCTTTCTGCAGTGCAAGATATTCTTCCAAGATGTATGGACACTGAGAGTGTCAGAAGGATAGATAGAGGCATGTCCCTAATACTGGCATGTTCCTATACTGGCTTGTAGCTTGTAGCTTTGCGTATGCATTACAGGTTGTATGACACCTGGTGTCGCAATGGTGCCTCAAATCCATGAGAAGGCAGGGAGGTGTGATGGAAAGGCAGGGAGATGGGTAGTAAGTGAGGGGAGATTTGAAGGGACGGAGGGTGAAAAGGGAATACAAGCGAGTAAACATGAGTTAATAAGATGCATGTATGGGGCAAAAGTGATGGCAGCACATGCACATGAACTGGAGGGCAGAAGGCGAGGAGTGACGTAGAAGGGCGGGGTCGAGAAGGGAAGGGCAGGGAGGAAAGGGCAGGGATGGGGATGAAGGGGAGGGGAGGAAGGGGAGGGAATGATGGGGAGAGAAGGAAGGGAAGGGGAGGAAGTGGAGGGAAGGAAGGGAAAAGGGGGGAGGGGAGATTGGTTACAGGAAGGAAGGGACGGCGGTGAGGATTGCGAGAGTGAGAATGGCAGGAAGAGTGTGAGAGGGCAGACGGGCCTTGTGATGTGGCCCACAAGAGATGAGAAGGAAAACGAGATGGTGGGAGGCATGAAGGAGATAAGGAGAGAAGCAAGGAAGGCAGGGAGAGGTGGTGGGAGGCATGAAGGAGAGATGGAAAAGGGGAAGCGGGATTGGAAAAAGGGGTGAATGAAAAGTGAGAATTCGGTAAGAAGGTGAGTGACGGGGGAAACAGAGTGGGCAGAGGGGAGAAAGGGTGAGTGTGGGGGAAAGAGAGTGAGCAGAGGGGAAAACGCGTGAGTGAGGGGTGAAAGAGAGTGAGCAGAGGGGAAACGGGTGCATAAAAGGGGGGTAATGAGAGCCTGCAGGGGGGGAAATGAGGGCGTGCAGGGGGGGAAATGAGGGCGTGCAGGGGGGGAAATGAGGGCGTGCAGGGGGGATGCCGCGCGAGGAGGCGAGAGGAGCACGCACGGGGAGGGGAGAGGAGCACGCGCGGGGAGGCGAGAGGAGCACGCGCGGAGAGACGAGAGGAGCACGCACGGGGAGGGGAGAGGAGCACTCGCGGGGAGGCGAGAGGAGCACGCACGCGGAGGGGAGAGGAGCACGCACGCGGAGGGGAGAGGAGCACGCACGCGGAGGGGAGAGGAGCACGCGCTGGGAGGGGAGAGGAGCACGCGCTGAGAGGCGAGAGGAGCACGCGCGGGGAGGCGAGAGGAGGCGAGAAGGGGATATTGGGCGGCAGAAATGGGAGATCGGGCCGCGGGAACGGGAACTCGGGCGGGTTGCACGGGAGATCGGTCGGCGAGCAGGGGAGATGGGGTGGCGGGGAAGCGGAGGTCGGGTGGTGGGAAGATGACGGCTATTACCTAATCATAAGCATAGGCAAAGGGGAGCGCTACTGCTGCTCACCCCTGTTACGTGACATTCTTTGTCCTTTTGACGCCTTTGGATAGGAGCTAGGTTACTAATGGAGTGGTAATGCTTCTACTACGTGTAAGGAGGTAGGGCTGGAGTGCTAACCTTGGCGCTTGATTTTTCCCTATCACTTCACTCCCTTGCACAATCTGTGTTCCCGTCGTCAGTGTTGGTCGCACAAAGTGCAACTTCCCAAACCTGTCACGCAAGAGGTTCGGATGTGACCCAAACCTGCCCCTGAGCTCTTGTGTTGGCCTCAACACTTTGGAACTTCGCGCATGTATTTCCCCCGCTCGTAAAAAAACTCGTCACTCGTAAACCAATCAGGATCTTACTTTCCCAACCAAGTGTTAAACACTAGTAAATATGAGACGCGAGCTTTAAGCCCGAACGTGCAAGACGACCGCCACTCCCTAAGGCCAGAGCACACACCCTGCACTATCCACTAGGGTTTCGAACTATAGCGCCTTGAGGTGCCCGCGTATCCATCCTACCCTGCCGCGCTTTGCACGTAAACACAGAGCAGCACGATAGGCCAACCTTTAATGGGTCCGGTCGAATGCTAGTGTTAGGCTAGATTATGAATGCTGCAGCACCGCAAATGACCCAGGGCACGCACACCGGACGCGCATTCTTGCGCGAACGGCGTAAGATGTTGTTCACCGCCATAGTGCTGCCGCTGTTCGTCCTATCGGTGGTTACTTGCAAATGCGAACGGACGTTTGGGTCGTCATCTGCCCACATCAACCACCGGATTGCTGATGCGTGCTGCGAAGTCCGAGCGGCAAGCTTAAGGCGGGAGCATGGCGTCGCGGTTACTGACAGGGCAGCGCATGCACAGAATGAAGCGACAACCGGGCCCGACGCGGGAGAACACAGTGTTCATCCCAACATTCCCGAGCTGCCAGAGGCCATGGTGATCGACACCAGCCCGCCTCTCCAGGGTGCCTCACAAATGCAGCCCAATGACACTGCTGATGCTTCTTTTGATACCAAACGAGAAGTGTTTAAGTTCGTTAAGTCCTTCCGAAATGGCGTAGGCATGACCAAGGACGAGACTAAAGCTTTCTTTAGGCTCATCAATCACCCAGGCTTCGACAGGGCCGACGTTGGAGCGTGGGGCGGCCTCAAGGACGTCGACCGCTACGCCACTGATGTCCTAGGGCTTCATCACGGCACCTGGAGAAAGCGGATGGTTATGGTAGAGGGGATGTCTGAACCGGTGGAGCTGGAGTACTGCGATTCCCTGGCTGTGAGTACTACCCGGGCAGTATGGAGTTGTCGAGTGTCTCTGCCAGACTGAGCATTGGGTCGCGTGCATCCCGGGGTCATCCAGTTGTATCATGTATGACCAGCACGTTCAGCGTATCTCCCGCCCTTTCCAGACCTCCCCCGATGCGATTCAACCCGGGTCGCGCCCCGCTCCGTCAATCCCCACCCCCCCACACAGCATGCGGTGATGCAGGTCATGGATGCGCACCACATAGAAGGGCAGCATGCCAGCTATTACGTGACTTTCCGTGCTTCCCCGTGCGCACCACACCCAACCCCTCCCTCCCACAGGCCGTACAAACCTTGTTTGGAGACCCTGAGAACAGGCCTGGGTTTGTCCTGAGACCACGTGTGGAGCTCAACGCCGAGGGGGAAAGGGTCTTTTCCAGACCAGAGACTGGGTTGTGGTGGCATGATGCCCAGGTATGTCCGCAGCTCAGTGTTTGGGATGTGTTTGAGGTAGGACTGCGTTTTACATTTCTTAATTTGCGGGCAAAAGACACCTCATGGACTTTTCACTGTCGCTCCCATCCATACAGAACGACATTCCAAACGAGGACGGTGTCATTGCATCGATTATTGCATACAGTGATGTCACCCACCTTAGCCACAACGGAAGGCAGAGGGTGTGGCCCCTACAACTCACCCTCGCTAACATATCCCGTGAGGGCCGGTGGCGCAGCTCAGGGCGAGCCTTGGTAGCACTCCTGCCAATGGGCGAGCCTGATCTCAAGCCTGCAGTCAAGACCCGATTGTTCCAGGCTTGCATGGACATAATCTTCGAGCCTCTTATCAGGGCTTCATACAGGTCAGTACGCTTGTCGACTCGTTGGTTCTAGAACTAGGGCTGTGTGTAGTTTGACCCCGTACTAAACCTGTACCTTTGTCGACTGCCTGCGCATGCGATACAGCGGAACGAGCTTGGTCGATCCAGATGGGATCCAGCGTGTAGCTTACCCAATGATGTACGCGTACGTTTGTGATTACCCCGAAGGGTGCAAGGTCACGGCGACCATGCAGCAAGGTTCTGCGCGTCCATGCTCAATGTGCGAAGTCCCGGGGGAAAGCCTTGACGTGGTAGACCGTCTTTTTCCGACCCGGTGCCCTAAGAAGCAAATGTCAGTGCTGCACGACAAGGCAGAGTGGAAGCCCATGGGCACACATCCCGTTGAGGTGCGCAGATATGTGCTAACACACTTCAGTGCATGGGCTGTAGGCCGTGGGTTTTGAACGGTTATCATTATACCGTGCTCGGTTCTGTTTCTCGTGCAGAATGCGTTCGTCAAGTGGGCTTTTGCCACTGAGCATTGGGGGAATCCATACGGGTCTGTGCTGCCCGATGTATTGCACGTGGTGGACCTGGGTTTATGGAAACACATCCTTGAGCAAATCCGAGAAAAGTACTCACCTGGCCTGCTAGCTGAGATGGACCGGTGAGCCCATCCGTTTTGTTCCAGTGATAGCGCATAAGCTACCATTGTATCCTAAACCATGTGATGCTGTTACCGGCTTCATGCTGTTTGTGTTTTTTTGCCAATGTCCATTCCTTGTTTCAATCGACACGCCATTCTCTATCAGGTCACAAGAGCAGCGGGCCTCAAATTACCCAAGCCCGGCCGGTATTTCAAGGGCGGGGCAAATTTCTCAGCCGCGGAACATCGTGCCATGATGCAGATTGCTCTTTTTGTCTTTGACGGCATCCTTGACGCGGCTGAGATGCACCTCCTTGTGTTGTTCCTGGAATGGTATGAGGCATGCTTCCGCGTCTCAGGCCACACCAAAGCCTCAATCAATCTGGTGGCCGCCAAAACAGAAGTGTAAGAAACTCGCTGCTGATGATGGGCTAGGGATATTTAGTCCTTGTTTAGCGTCATGTTCGAAGCTGTCTTCCCTCTCGCTCCTGTCCGCGCCCGTTTTCCGACCACCCTATTGTCTGGGTGCAGGTTGATCAACCGATGCAAGCTGGTGTTCCCGAATCAGAAGTCGGCATGGCGCCTTGTCAAAGTTCACGCCTTAACGCACCTTCCGTATGCTATGATGACACGCGGGATTCCAGAGGAGTACTCCACTAACACGTTCGAGCACTCGCATGTGTCACTTGTTAAGAGGCCGTACCGCAGCTCTAACCGGCGTCAGATTCATGCAGCTATCATCGCTGCCGATGATATGCGAAGAGCGATGCGTGCACTGCTGTGGAAGGAGTCGGTGGACTCACATTACATGACAGCCATGAGAGAGGTGGGTGTCCCATTGATTCATTGACCGCAGCGGTATTTATGATGCTGCCCTTCTCTCGACGTCTGAATGCCCGCCCTCACATTCCGATTCTGATCCCCATCGCAGTCTATCACGAAGGGGCTGCCTGTGCTCACGAAGACGTCACAGCGCATGGTGATCCCTGTGGACACGAGGGGCTGTGTAAGCAGGCCGGGATTGTGGCACACCTTTTGCCGGGTGATGCCGGAAGACATGCGTGTGTTTGCGGACACCTTAACGAACGCCGGCACAAGGATGGCAACAGTACATGTGAGTAGCTGAATGCACCCTTCGGCATGAGTGGGATCCATCCCAGCCAGGGTGGTATGGGGGAAGGGGGGTGGGCCAACAAATGGGGAGTATACATAGGTGCTGGAAACGACGGCCAGGGGAAAGGCAAGCCTGGGTGGGGGAGGGGAAGGGGAAGGGGAATGCCTGGATTGAGAGGCAGAAGGGGATTGGCAAGCCAGGGTGGTGTTGGAGAGGGGGAAAGGGGATGCAGGGTGGGGGGGGAGAGGGGGATAGGCGAGCCAGGGTGGGGTGGGATGATGGCAAATGACAGCCTGGATGGGTAGGGAAGGGGGAGAAGGGCAGCGAGGGTGGTGAGACAGAAGGGGAAAGGCAAGCCGTTGTGGGGAGGGAGCAGGGGATAGGCAAGCCTGGGTGGGGGAGGGGAAGGGGAAGGGGAATGCCTGGATTGAGAGGCAGAAGGGGATTGGCAAGCCAGGGTGGTGTTGGAGAGGGGGAAAGGGGATGCAGGGTGGGGGGGGAGAGGGGGATAGGCGAGCCAGGGTGGGGTGGGATGATGGCAAATGACAGCCTGGATGGGTAGGGAAGGGGGAGAAGGGCAGCGAGGGTGGTGAGACAGAAGGGGAAAGGCAAGCCGTTGTGGGGAGGGAGCAGGGGATAGGCAAGCCTGGGTGGGGGAGGGGAATGGGAAGGGGAATGCCTGGATTGAGAGGCAGAAGGGGATTGGCAAGCCAGGGTGGTGTTGGAGAGGGGGAAAGGGGATGCAGGGTGGGGGGGGGAGAGGGGGATAGGCGAGCCAGGGTGGGGTGGGATGATGGCAAATGACAGCCTGGATGGGTAGGGAAGGGGGAGAAGGGCAGCGAGGGTGGTGAGACAGAAGGGGAAAGGCAAGCCGTTGTGGGGAGGGAGCAGGGGATAGGCAAGCCTGGGTGGGGGAGGGGAAGGGGAAGGGGAATGCCTGGATTGAGAGGCAGAAGGGGAAAGGCAAGCCAGGGTGGAGAAGGGGAGGGGGAAAGGGGATGCAGGGTGGGGGGGGGAGAGGGGGATAGGCGAGCCAGGGTTGGGTTGGGATGATGGCAAATGAAAGCCTGTGTGGGTAGGGAAGGGGGAAAAGGCCAGCGAGGGTGGTGCGGCAGAAGGGGCAAGGCAAGCCGTTGTGGGGAGGGAGCAGGGGATAGGCAAGCCTGGGAGGGGAGGGGGAAGGGGAAGGGGAATGCCTGGATTGAGAGGCAGAAGGGGAAAGGCAAGCCAGGGTGGAGAAGGGGAGGGGGAAAGGGGATGCAGGGTGGGGGGGGAGAGGGGGATAGGCGAGCCAGGGTTGGGTTGGGATGATGGCAAATGAAAGCCTGTGTGGGTAGGGAAGGGGGAAAAGGCCAGCGAGGGTGGTGCGGCAGAAGGGGCAAGGCAAGCCGTTGTGGGGAGGGAGCAGGGGATAGGCAAGCCTGGGAGGGGAGGGGGAAGGGGAAGGGGCATGCCTGGATTGAGAGGCAGAAGGGGAAAGGCAAGCCAGGGTGGAGAAGGGGAGGGGGAAAGGGGATGCAGGGTGGGGGGGGGAGAGGGGGATAGGCGAGCCAGGGTTGGGTTGGGATGATGGCAAATGAAAGCCTGTGTGGGTAGGGAAGGGGGAAAAGGCCAGCGAGGGTGGTGCGGCAGAAGGGGCAAGGCAAGCCGTTGTGGGGAGGGAGCAGGGGATAGGCTAGCCTGGGAGGGGAGGGGGAAGGGGAAGGGGAATGCCTGGATTGAGAGGCAGAAAGGGAAAGGCAATCCTGGGTGGGTTGGGAGAGGGGGAAAGGCAAGCCTGCTTGGGGTGGAGAAGGGCAAAGGCTTGCCAGGATGGGGTGTTGATAAGTGGTGAGGCAAGACTGGGTGGAGTATGGGAAGGGGAAAGGACCAGCCTTGGTTCTCACGGCATTATGGGGAGAGGGTTAGCCAACGTGGTGCGGTAGACACGGAAAAGGCAAGCCTAGATGGAGTGGCAGCTGGGGAAAGGTCAGCCAGTCTGGGGAGGCAGAAGGGGGGGGGGGGGGGGGGGGTTAGCCAGGGTTGGTGAGGCAGGAGGGGCAGGCCCAGACAGTCTGCGGGCTGTCATCCTGTGCCGCAAATACATGGTTGTGGTGGCACAAAACCATTGACGGTGGCTCACCTGTTTCTATGTGGTGGTGATGCAGGTGCACACGGCACTGGCCTTGGGCACCCAAGGATGCGGCGACAATCGGACGGCTGAGCCCGCGTGGGTGCGGGCTTCACCGAGCTTCCATGGCAAGCCATGCTTTTCATTCGTGCACATGAATCTGAATGGTCGCGAGACCATCGCGAAGGTTCTGCTCCTGTTTAGAGACTCAACGTTGCCCGATCATGGCTATGCCTTCGTGAAGCTCCTGTCACACCTCGGCAAGGACAAGGACACGCAGGCGCCACGCCTTCAGTTTGCGGGTGCGGACCCCGAAACGACTGGGTACGCAGTCGAGCCTGTGGGGAAGATATACAAGTTGTTGCACGTGGTGCAATCCTTTGAGGAGGCGGACATTCTGTACCTGAATCCCCATCTGTTTTGAGGTGTTTGTTTTGCGGCAGAGTTGAATCCTTTGGGGTTGTACTAACTTGGTAGGGTTTGTTAAATAGTGTCACGATGTCTTCAACTGAACTTGTCTGACTCTTGTGTCGGGGTCTTTTATTTAAACGTGTACAGATAATTCTAGTTTCTATTCACTATATTTAACATCGATTTAACTCATAGATGTATACACGTGTTTAATTTCCGAAAGGCAGCGCTACGCGATCATTCATTGGTTGGTCCCTGTTTTGTCGCGGACTTGGATGTGCCAAGTTGGTGGCGTGCAATCACGGGGACACACGTGTACACATGCTGAGTGGTGGCGATGGAGTTGCCAGAGTGTGGCGAGTCCACGCGGATTACATTGTCGGGACTCCTCTGGTTCCAACGTAACCCTGGATAAGTGGGTGTGTAGTTGGAGATGCGATGGAGTAGAGAGAGTGTAGCGAGCATAGGGACAGTGCATCTCGAAGTACATTGTACGAACTCCCAATGTTTAAAGCCAGGATCTCAAGTAGTTTGGCTGTTTTGCAGTTAGTGAATTGTGTTAGGCTGTGATTGGTTGACGAGGTAGAGTAGTTGACGAGAGCTGAAACGAGGGATGCGAAGCAAACAAAAATCGCAGTAAACTTCCGAACCAACTAGGCACGGAAATCTGGTTGGGTTCCGAAGCTCATTTCCCAGCGATGTGTCTCACTTGCCGAAAAATCTCATGCACAGCAATTTGTTTTGCAATTGAGATTCACGGGCAAATCGGGGATCAGTCGCACACTGAACCTCCAACCCAACCACTCGATTTCGCCTAAACAAACAGGGTGACTCGAGCTGCAAGTGTTTTGCAATTGAAGCCAATTTCTCTTACTTGAGATCCTCCCCCAAACACAAATTTGGGATGCTGGTATGCTCATTCTCTCACCCTTGCAAACAGCCAGTTTGCACATAACTGAGTTATCTGCGCATGTATGTCTGCACATTCCTCCACATACATGTTTTCATACTTTCTCGTATGCTTACTATGATTTCCAACTCTCCACGTCCTTCATTGCCCCCACCGTTTCTCCCAGCCTGTGCGCCCAGGGCTGTGGTTGCCATTCGCCTGCTATCGTGCCCAGTGGGCCAAGAGAAGGACGCGGACGGCAACTGCGTTGGTGGGTGCTGCGGAAAGAGTGAATGCAACATCATCATTGCTCCAATGCAGCCATCATTGCTCCAATGCAATGCACCCATCATTGCTCCACTGCAGCCTTTTGTCCTCATTTGGTAGCTGCATTTGACTGTGACAACTTCTCCATAGGCATTTGGTTGATGCCCGATCGTGCTCCTACACGTCCTGCCTACCATGCTGCCAATGATGCTCCTGGCCCCCATGTGCTTCCGACGCCCATGTGCCTGTGTCTGACCTCTGTCCCCCACGTGCCTGTATCTGACTCCCGCGTGACTGAGTGCAGACTCGTGCGTGGTGCGCAACTGCGGCACCAACGCGAGGTGCCTCAAGAGCCAGGCGGGCTGGGCGGACTGCGTGTGCGACAGGGGCTTCAAGCTGCTGCCCGATGCGTCCTGCGCTCGTGAGTTCAGCCTCACCCACCCTTGTTGCTTCCCATATCCGCAGCTGCTCCGGATGACGATGTCCTCTACATGAGTGCAGTCCTTTTCCTTTTCGGCTCACTGAAAGTAACACCCATTGCCATTGCTGCCTCTCGTTTTTAGCCATCCCAGTCGCATCTAACGGCCTCTGAGCATCCTCTGACCACTCTAACATCCTCTAATCTCCTCACCTGTCTCCTGTGCTTTTTGTGTTGTCGTCCCTCTCGTGCTATTGACCTGGCAGAGGTGTGTACTGCCGAGGACTGTGGGGAGAACGGTTACTGTGAAGAGGACCAGGGAATCTCCTCCTGTCATTGCAACCCTGGCTTTGCCAAGACCGCGGATGGCTGCGTTGGTGAGTGCTGTTTGGCCGTGCTGTGCTGAGAAGTCGCGCTGTGGCTGCTCCTTTATGGCTCTGCTGGATTCTAACGTTAGTTGTCCCTCTTTGACTCTTCCCTCACCAGATACATGTGTGCTCCAGGCGTGTGGTGAAAACGGTTGCACTAAGGACTCAGAGGGGGTGGCATCATGTTTCTGTGACCTTGGCTTCGAGCTGGAGAAGGATGGCAGGACATGCACAGGTAGCTATGTGCTGCTGCTGATGTGTTGTGCTGCTGCTGATGTGCTGTGTGCGGCTGCTGTTGTGTTGTGTGCTGCTGCTGATGTGCTGTGCTGCTGCTGTTGTGTTGTGTGTGCTGCTGCGTGTTGTGTGCTGCTGCTGATGTGTTGTGTGCTGCTGCTGATGTGCTGTGTGCCGCTGCTGTTGTGTTGTGTGCTGCTGCCGATGTGTTGTGTGCTGCTGCTGATGTGTTGTGTGCTGCTGCTGCTGATGTGCTGTGTGCTGCTGCTGTTGTGCTGTGTGCTGCTGCTGATGTGTTCTTTGCTGCTGATGTGTTGTCCGCTGCTGCTGATGTGCTGTGTGCTGCTGCTGATGTGCTGTGTGCTGCTGCTGATGTGTTGTGTGCTGCTGCTGATGTGTTGTGTGCTGCTGCTGATGTGTTGTGTGCTGCTGCTGCTGATGTGTTGTGTGCTGTTGCTGCCATGTGTTCGTTGATTGCAGTGCTGCTTTTTATATATAATCCTTTCGCATTCACTGTTGCTATTAACATATTTTTGTTCCCGATGCAGACACATGTGCTGCCCTGGGGTGTGAGAACGGCCAGTGCGAGAAGGATGGGGATGGGGTGGCGTCCTGTATTTGTGACCCTGGCTTCACGCTGCGGGAAGATGGCAAGACTTGCACTGGTAAGTCTGCTGTGTGCTTGCTATGTTTTTTCGTTTCTTTGAGAGAGGGAGAGAGGCAGACAACCGGATTGCAAGATCTGCCACGCTGCTTTCATCTTGACCACATGGTTTCAGCGCTTTCAACTATTCCCTGCCCCACATTGTTTTTCGCAGACCATCCAACCGGGCCACCTGCTGACGTTGATCTGCCACCTGCTGCTATCAACCGCCCCTGCCCAGCGGGCGAAGAGAGGGACGCAGACGGCAACTGCATTGGTGGGTGCTGTTGGAAAGAGTGAATGCAGCATTGCTCCACTGCACCTTTATCATGACCTTACTTGACATATGCAATCCGCGTTTCAGCTTCTATACATGCTGTTATGGATTCTGGCCAATTGTGCTGCACAAACGATGGTGTGCTTTATGCTGTCCAAAAGCACTTCTGCTTCCCGAATGCACTATCATATGCTTTTGCATATGTCTGAGTGCAGACGTGTGCGTGGTACGCAACTGTGGCCTCAACGCCAACTGCCTCAAGAGCGAGGGAGGCTGGGCGAACTGTGTGTGCCAAAGGGGCCTCAGGCTCATGCCCAATGCGTCTTGCACGCGTGAGTGCCTTCACCCACCCTGCACCCTGTTTGCTGCTTCCCTTATTCGTTTTTTAGGCGCCTCGAAGAGCGCCAGGCAGGCTGGGCGTGAGTTGGCTGAGCCCAATGCACCCTTCTTGCTTCCCATGTCTGCTACTGCCCATCCGTCCTGCACTCACGTTGACTGTGCCCCAGTCACCCGTCCTTGTTGCTTCCCTTCCTCAAGGGAAATTCGCTGCTGCATGATGAGTCCTGACTAGTGTGCTGCCCTGCCCCTGATGCTCCCTTTCATGCTTGTTGTCTAATGAGCCTGTGCCATTGCTGCTTCCTTCCCGTTATGACCTTCCCAGTCACAATATAGTATTCTCGGGCATGCCGTGCAGGCAGGGCGCTCTGATAATTCTTTCCACTCCTGTCCTCATTCTGTCGTTGTTGCTCCCCGTTCCACATTCTTGCTGTGAACCCGACAGACTCGTGTGCGATAAGGGACTGTGGGGAGAACGCGTACTGTGAGAAGGAGCAGGAGCTCGCCGTCTGTCACTGCAACTGGGGCTACGCCATGACTGACACCGGCTGTGTTGGTCAGTGCCCTGCTGCCATGCACGACGAATCTGTCTGTGTGTGGTTCCGTGCCAGATGAATAAATGCCATTTCCGTTGAGATGATGCTTTTTATGTGCTACCACATTTTCATGCTTTACTGATAGTGCGCTTTGTAATTGCTGCTCCATTTGTTTTATTCTGTTTTTTGTTATTGTTCCTCAACACTTCCCTTCCCCCCAGATACTTGCATCCTTAAGGGTTGTAATTCGTTCACAGAGGATTGTAGGAAGTATGACAATGGCTCTGCATATTGTGTATGCAAGCCGGGCTACAGAAATGTCAATGGCTATTGCGTCGGTATGTAATTTTGACCTCACCAACCCCTCAATCCCCCTCCTCACACCCCCCCCCCCCCCCCCCCTCCCCCCCCCCCCCCCCCCCCCCCCCCCCCCCCCCCCCCCCCCCGGTTTCTTCCCCTCTCATTCCATTCTCTCTCCCTGCTTTGCATTGTTAGTTCCCTGTGCATGTTTCCTTGCATGTTTGTTTTTTTCCCGCCCCACTATTCCTGTGCCCATTGTTGCTCTCTAGCGCACATTGC